ATATCTGCAACAAATTATTTCCCCCCCTGAAATTCAAAGGGGATTTTTTTTTTCTTTTTAATTGACTTTCTAGGCTCATTTGTAGGTTAATTTTGCAAGAAAATATTTTTTTTATTTGAAATTCAATAATTGCCACTTAAAGGGTTAATATTATTACATACTTCAGTCACAGAATAGGAAGGTATACCAGAAGTCTCACTCAAGCAAGTGTTTGTCCGCATTTTTACAAGCGATTCGTCATCAATCACGCCATCCTGGCTAGTACATGTATATATATATATATATGTTATTTACCGGCTGCGAGGTCCGGATGAGAAAAACTGTGCCCAAGGTCTTGAAAACGGCCCGAGCCCGAAGGGCGAGGGACGTTTTCAAGACCGAGGGCACAGTTTTTCTCATCCGGACCGACGCTGCCGGTAAATAATGTGTTTATTTTTTATCAGATGTAAAATTAAATTCATTAAAATTCCAGTGTTGCTTGCGAACTAATTTGAGATCAGTGTAGTTGTGCATTTTCAAAGCGAGGCTGACAAAAATTGAAAAGTTGAACTTGAAAGATATATAACACGAATACGAAAGTCGAGAAAATTAATATTGGCAAGAAACACACAAAAAGACGTATAGTTTCAGACTAGTAAAAATGAACATGCTTTTTTCATAAATATCATAGCAGAGAAGCTTTGGAATAAAAACTTTTATGCCCGACGTTTTGGCTTTGGCTTTGACAAAATCAGTTGCTCCTGAGTCCTGACAACGACAGGTTCATGTTCAGTACCGATGAAAAACATATAAAAATCAATCTGTTTTGATTTAATCATCGTTTTTCTACTAAAAGGACAATGAAAAAGGTATGCTGTTTTTATATTTTGGTAATTTTTCTTCTCGTCTCAAGATAATATACTTGAAAAAAGTGTTTTTTAACACAAACTTTTACTTTGTTTACAATATTTATATCAGTGAAAAATGCATGACACAAATGGGTAGAGAATATATTCGTGACTTGTTTTTACTGCTGCAGTTAAACCTTCTTTTAAATGGGAAAACATTTATTTTACAATTTCTGTTTAAGCTTTAATTTTTTCGCTTTTAAGTGGCCGAATACATGAGCATTTAAAAAAATATGTAGTTTTCTCGACGTAAGTTTTATTCATGTCAAATATAAACTTTCCGACTTTCAGTCACATTTCTATCA